ACTTTGTATCTTTTTAAAAACAATTACTATTCTTTCTTATTTCATCTCCAAAGCCTATCACAATATCTGGCATAAAATAAGTAATTAATAAATTTGTTAAATGTTCATTGACTTCAAAAGTTAAAGTTTTACTGACTTATGTTGACCTTTCTCTAGTGAATGTGATTTTAAAACATTTTTACCATACTTCATAGTGAATAAAACAGTGAGATAGAAATATTGCAGAATACACCCTCTATTGGTCTGTCTCACTGTCATTCATTTTTAAAAATTTTGTTCTTTAAACATTGACAGTGATATATATTTAGGTACATAATTATTTATTTATAGTAAAGAAATAGTTTCATTTGGTAAAAACATATCATTTGCTCAGCTCTTTATCACAGAGAAGTGCAAAAGTATCACACAGTGAAGTGGCTTTCCTACTATGGCCCTGGGAGTCATTGTGAATCTAAAGGGAAAATACATGCTACTGCATTCATACAAAAATCTCAATTTTGTTACTAGGGGTATGATGTAAATTAATGGTATTGTAGTATTTTCTGCTAATTTACTTCTCTAGGCAATTTGTGAAGGGTACTGTTTCAGTGACCAAGCCCATGTCCTTGCGATTTCCTAGGCTCCAACAACACTAATAGTCACCATGGATTAACTGTTTACCATGTGCCATACTCTGTGGCAACTTCTTTCCACAAATTATCTCATTTAATCCTCATTACAAACTTTTGATGTCTATACAAGCTTTTCCTCATTTTATTCAAGTGAAGTAAGTGAGACTTAAGGTAACACACTTGACATCATCAGCAAATCAGTGGTAGAGTGCAGGTTCAAAACCACTTCTGTATGACTTCAGAGGTCAAGTCTTTTTTTAAAAAATATATCTTTATTGATTTCAGAGAGAGGAACAGAGAGGAAGAGAGAGAGATAGAAACATCTATAAGTTGATGCTCAACTGCTGAGCCATGAAGGCAGGGCAGACTTCTTTTTTAATTAAATTTATTGGGGTGACATTGGTTAATATGATCATATAGGTTTCAGGTGTGGATTTCTACATTACAAGATCTGTATATTGTACTGTGTGCCCACTAGCTAAAGTCAAATCACCCTCTGTCACCCTATATTAGGCCTCCTTCACCCCTGACCTCCTTCCCTCTGGCAACCACCACACTGCTGTTTGTGTTCATGCGGTAATGCATGCCCTAAGAATGAATGAGACCTCAGGAAAGTTTGGAGAGTTGAGCGTTAGGAAGATTAATATTCAAGGGACAGGAAGAGGCAGAGTTGCCTACACATGATAATAGATAGAAATGGTCATAGATTGTGTGGTTTCTCATAAGCCAAGTAATAGTTGTTTGAAGAAGGTAAGCATGTCCTGTGGTGTGAGGCAGTGGAGACAATAGATGCATACTAATTTTTTGAGATTTCTAGGTGACTAAGGCAGTAGATATTGAATAACAGCTAAAGGAAAACAGAGGCAAGTGAGGGCTTTTGTTTCTGTTTTAAGATGGGAGAGACTGTAGCAGGTTCATAAACTGAAGACAGAAAGAACACAGGTCCTCTAATTCCCCACCCAATGTCCTTTATTCAAACTCTCAGCTGCTTGGATCCAAATGTAGTTTTCTGTTTGAGTCTTCCGGGATACATCAGGGTAGTCCCCCTTTCTAATTAATGTTTACATTCCCTGTCATCTCAGAAACTCTTTTCAGAATTAATAAATTCTTATAGTGAGATTGCTTTAATGAGAACTAAGTCAAAGATAGGAGTATCGTCTACAATACATATTACAGGCACACGGTTAATACTTGCTGAACAAACATGGTGATGCAGGCCATCTCTGAATTCATCACTGAACTCATGAGTCTTTCTTAAAGTCACTGTCCTATTCTGCCCATATTATAGTTAGTATTACATGTTACCTCCCCATACATTCAGCAATATTTGGCAAAAAGCATTAATGCCCATTTATCTGAATAAGTGGGAAGGGTCAAGACTTAAGTCATTTTTGTCTTATTTTGAAAGAATGGGTTTCTATATCTTGTTGACATTTTCAACCTATTTTTTTATCTACCATATGAAAACAAGCCATCAAACCTAACACAACTCTTATATTCCACCTCAATATCTAAGCACCTTAAAATCTCCTAGTAATATGCCACCATTTTGACTGGGTTTTTTTCCCACTTCATAGTTTCATCAGTTTATTTTATTATTTTATTTTATTTTATTTTATTTTTTATTTTATATTTTATTTTATTTGGTTTAATCTTTGTTGTTGAAAGTATTACAGATATGTCCCCTTTTCCTCCACCACACCCCCCTGCTCTCAATCCACATTATTGTTTGTCCATGGGCTATACATATATGCATATAATTTCTTTGATTAATCTCTTCCTGCCCTCCCCCTCTTCCCTCTGAGATACATCTATCTGTTGCATATTTCAATGCCTCTGGATCTGTTTTGTTCACCAGTTTATTTGCCCATTAGATTCCACATATAAGTGAGATCATGTGATACTTGTCTTTCCCTGACTGGCTTATTTCTCTTAGCATAATACTCACCAGGTCCATCCATGCTGTCCCAAAGTGCAAGACATCCCTCTCTCTAACAGCTGCATAGTATTATTCTATAGTATAAATGTACCACAGCCCAGCAGGCATGGCTCAGCTATTGATCATCAACCTATGATCTAGTAGATCAAGGTTCAATTCCCAGTCAGGGCACATACCCAGGTTGCAGCCTCGATCCCCAGTGGTTGGTATGCAGGAGGCAGCAGATCAATGACTCTTTCATCATGGATGATTCTCTCTCTGTATTGCCCTCTCCCTTCCTCTCTCGGATCAATAAAGATATATTTTAAATAAATAAATAAATAAATAAATAAATAAATAAATAAATGAATGAATAAATAATAAATAAATAAAGTACCACAGTTTTTTATCTGCTCATCTACTGATGGGCACTTGGGCTGTTTCCAGATCTTAGCAATTGTAAATTGTGCTGCTGTGAACATGAGGGTGCATATGTTCTTTCTGACTGGCATTTCTGGTTTCTTAGGGATGTATTCCAAGGAATGGGATCACTGGGTCAAATGGCAGTTCTATATTTAATTTTTTAAAGAAACTCCATACTGTTTTCCATAGTGGCTGCACCAGTCTGCATTCTCACTAGCAGTGTACTAGTGTTCCCCTTTCTCCACATCCTTGCCAGCACTTGTCATTTGTTGGTTTATTGATGGTAGCCACTCTGACAGGTGTGAGGTGATACTTCTTTGTGGTTTTAATTTGCATCTCTCTGATGATTAGTGACTTTGAGCATTTTTTCATATTTCTTTTGGCCATCCGTATGTCCTCTTTAGAGAAGTGTCTATGTAGACCCTTTACCCATTTTTTAATTGGATTGTTTGTCTTCCTGTTGTTAAGTGAGTATGATGTTGGCTGTAGCTTTGTCATATATGGCCTTAATTATGTTGAGGTCTGATATCCCCCTAGTCCCACTTTGCTGGGAGTTTTTATCAAAAATTGTTGGATTTTGTCGAATGTTTTTCATCTATTGATATGATCGTGTGGTTTTGTTTTTCAAATTATTTACATGATGTATCATGTTTATTGTCCCATCCTTGCATTCCTGGAATAAGTCCCACTTGGTCATGGTGTATGATCTTTTTAATATATTGCTAGATCCAATTTGCTAATATTTGGCAAAAATGTTAGCATCTATGTTCATCAAGGACATTGGCCTGTAATTCCCTTTCTTTGTAGTGTCTTTATCTGGTTTTGGAATTAGGATTATACTGGCCTCATAAAAAGAGCTTGGAAGTGTTCCTTCCTTGGATTTTTTGGAACAATTTGAGGAAGATAAGTGTTAGTGCTTCTTTGAATGTTTGGTAAAACTCCCCTGTGAAGCCATCTGGGCCAGGGCTTTTGTTTTCTGGGAGTTTTTTGATTACTGCTTCAATTCATCAGTTTTTATCAGCCTATCAGGTATTTTACTTCTTCCTGATTCAGTCCTTTAGATTGTATTTTTTCTAGGAATTTGTCCATTTCATCCAGGTTGTCCAGCTTGTTGGCATGTAGTTGTTCATAGTATTTGCTTATTATTCTTTGTATTTCTGTGATGTCAATTGTTACTTCACCTCTTTTGTTTCTGATTCTATTTATTTGGATCCTCTCTCTATGTTTCTTGATGAGTCTGGCTAAATATTCGTCAATTCTGTTTATCTTTTCAAAGAACCAGCTCATGATTTCATTGATCTTTTATATTGTTTTTTTAGTCTCTATTTCATTTATTTCCATTCTGATCTTTATTATTTCCTTCCTTCTACTTACTCTGGGATTTTCTTGTTGTTCTCCTTCTAATTCTTTTAGTTGTAGTGTTAGGTAGTTTATTAGAACTTTTTCTTGTTTCTTCCCATAGGCTGGTAATGCTATGAACTTTCCTCTCATGACTGCTTTTGCTGTCTCATAGATTTTGAGCTGTTGAAGAGATGAGTATCAAGTTGCCATATGTAGCTTTAAAAAGCTCTCATTTGAATATTTTATGCTACTTTTCATGCTCTATTATGACAAAGTAAAGAATGTAAGGTAGTATAAAAGAATCTATCCTGATAGAGTAAATAATTCCATTCTCTACATGTTATTTTTTTCTAGCATGTATTCCATTGTATTGTACTTATTTGTATATGTCTTTTTAAACCCTGGATCCTTACAGGAGCCATGTGCCCTTTATCATTTTCAATTCCTATTGGAATACCTGGCATATAATAGGCACTCATTGAAAATTTCCTCAATGATGAAGTATAGAAATGAAACAAGTCATAGGCTGATCCTTTAGAGCTATCAGGATAATACAGATTAGACTTTTGTTTAATCCAACCCGAATAGCAAGAGTGGCAGGGGCTGAAGTGAAATTTAAACTTTTAGAATGCCTATGAGTGATTGTAAACTTGTGGTATCTGAACTGCCCTTTCTAAGAATAGTGTTTTCCCCCTTTTTTTCTGCAGGTTGGACTCAAATCTGTGATAGAGCAATTTCCTGGGAAGCTTGATTTTATCCTTTTGGATGGGGGTTTTGTCCTAAGCCATGGCCACAAGCAGTTGATGTGCTTGGCCAGATCTGTTCTCAGTAAGGCAAAGATCTTGCTGCTTGATGAACCCAGTGCTCATTTGGATCCAGTGTGAGTTTCAGACTACTTGCTATTTAGTAACTCAGTAGGAGCAAAATCATGGAGGCCTACTTCATATTGACACAGATTCCCATTAGGTTGTCATGTCTGCAAGTAGAGGAACTGCCTTTAGATGTGAAATAATTGCCCAGTGGAAAAGTCACCATTTGATATGAACACAAGTGCTTATTTCCTAGTATAAGAGCCTTGTGTTCTCTTCTCAGTGTAATTTTGGAATTTTATACGAACTCTCCCCTTTGTCAATACATGATGAAATATTTAGTTACACAGGCAGATTCTGATTGTTATGATTTTTCTTTCTAATCCATTTATACAATAGGAAATATCACACAAAAGAACTGCTAGTGATTCTACATAATGGAAAAAAATGTACCTTTGTTCAATTTTCCTCAAAATATTTGTCCTGTTTATTGATGGGAACTTAGAATCTACCCTATGATTGGAAAGCTGATTGTGGCTGACTCTATATCACAATTATATTAAAAAGTATTTAAAGAAAGATAAGTAATTTAAAGGACTCAATTAATAGGACAATAGGTATGTTATCAAGGATAAAGGCAGATTATTGATGCTCTGTAATCTCATGTGTGGTATTTTCTTTTTCTTCTAGAACATATCAAATCATTCGAAGAACCCTAAAACAAGCATTTGCTGATTGCACAGTGATCCTTTCTGAACACAGGATAGAGGCAATGTTGGAATGTCAACGATTTTTGGTGAGTGTTTTTAATTTACTTAAGGTCTCATTTATCCATTAATTCTTGATAGCAACCTGTTATGTGATAGTTTCTGCAAATCACAGTAATGTACAAGTTCATCATTAAAACGTGTTGTACAGCCAGTTAGCTTGACTCAAAATAGCTGCACAAGTGTCTCAATTTGATCTGAGCTACAAGATAAGGTTGGAATTCAGTAATTCTAAAAGAGCAGCATATTACTAAGTTACATTAATACACTGGAACATCTATACTTTTGAGTCCTTTAGGGAACAAGTCAGAAGAAAGACTTAAGTCTTGGTGCATTTTAATAACTAAATCTCCCTTGGATGGGGCTCCGGGCAGGCAAAGATTGTCTTGCATCTCATGTATAGTTTTAACACGATAGTTGAAAGGCTCATTTCATTTTTTAAGTCATTATTTAGAATTCAGGTGAGTGCTTCTCCCATCCACCTTCTCATTGTGCTTTCAAAACTGTCACAGGTTCTTTCAAGTGATGTTTACAAATTCTCCTGGGCTTAGTCACAAGGAAGTTCTGGGGATGATGTATCACATCATTTCTGTTAAGACTTTTGAGGCTCCTGGAGGTAAATGCTTTACTTACTGAAGTATTGTTGTTACCATTATTATTACTAAGTTTCCGGTAACAAATTAGGGGGCTGACTCACAGCCTCTTTCCCTGCCCTGGTCAGGTACAGGAGTTTGGGGAAAGCCTTTTTATTCTCTGACCTTGGGTTTGCTCAACTTGAACATGTGAAGGAGGCATATTAAACTCAGGCACATCCTGACCAATTTGGAATTAACCTTCAAATCCCCTGTTGAAGAGGTTCAACTGTCATGCTGTGGACTTTCACTCATTGTTAGGGTAATATAAAAGGGATCTAACAAAAATCATTCTCATTTTAAAAGCACCCTTAGTTCCTCTAAAGTTTCCTGAAGAAGTACATTGCTCAGTACAATCCTAATTTAAAAAAAAAAAAAATCTTTCAGCTGCTAAGTAGAAAGTTACAGGTAATTTCACAGACTGTAGAAGCTCCATAAAGCAAGAGGATGAAGGACTAGGCAATGAAATGAGATCTCCCTGACTGTTCAGACTGTGAGCCTCTGGACACTGTGCTTTCCATTTGGCTTTTATCTTCCTCTGAACCTATGGCAGTTTCTGTCCTTGCTCTGGTCCACCCTTCCTTCTGTCCAAGATCTCACTAACAGCCACTTCCCTAGGTCATAGAGGAGAACAAAGTGCGGCAGTATGATTCCATCCAGAAACTGCTGAGTGAGAAGAGCCTCTTCCAGCAGGCCATGAGCCCCTCGGACCGACTGAAGCTCTCACCCCACCGGAACTCAAGCAAGCACAAGTCTCGATCCAAAATCACTGCTCTGAAAGAGGAGACAGAAGAAGAGGTGCAAGAAACCAGGCTTTAGAAAGCAGTAAGAATATTTGCATGGAATGCTCACATGTGGAGTTGTAGGAGAAAACAGTATGTGCCTCAGAAAACAAGGATGAATAATGTTATTTTTAAGAAGGAAACATTTTGGTAAGAGGAATTAAGGACCTTCACTTAGGTCTAGATAAATGGCTTCCCGGCAATGGTCAAATTGTGTGAAAGGTACTTCAAATCCTTGAAGATTTACCACTTGTGTTTGTGAGCCAGATTTTCCTGAAAACCTCTTCTTTTTGGTAGTCATTGGAAAGGTGGCTGTAAAAGTGAGCCAGCTTAATTGTAAAACTTACTGTTTAGTGAAATTTGTTGATTTGTATTACTGGAGAACTGTAATCATACTATTTAGAGATATGATTAACTTAAAACTTTAGTGGCTTATATTCCTTTTACTCTGATTTCTCCAAGATATTTAAAAACACAGCTATATTGTCTGATAAGTATTCAGACTGTCCCATTTCTGTGCAAGTATTAGGATACTGTGAGAGTCACAAGACAGCCCATGCAACATCTAGGTATCAGTCAGGAGAGAGAATGTCCTGAATCCTGGAAGTCAGGGTTAGTACCATTCTGTTCTACCAAAAATTCAAATAATTCAGATAATAAGAATGCATCCCTTACCTGGAAAAAAGGTTGTTACAGTCTCATGTAGGGAACAGGATAGCTTTGTTCATGTGGAAGCTGACATGCCTTTCCCCAGCTTCCAGAAACTAACAATAAGCTCCTAAGACCTCTGAACTGAAAGATGGCTGGAAAAATGTTTTAATGCAAATTGGTGCAGAAAAACCCTTCTTATCACAGAAGCTCCAGGTAGTGAACACCCAGGCAGCTAAGCCATGGGGGCTGCAGGTATAAGTACCTGAAATCAGAATATCTAGGTATATGTGGAGTGATGTTGCATGTTTTCAGACTCATTATATGCACATCATACCCTGTGTACTGAGTGGGAGAGGTAATGGGAGACACACTAAGGAAGAATCAATCATGGGTTAATTCTATATGCTTCTGTTTTATAATTTTGTGATGCAAATGAAATTTTCTCTAGGAAATAATATTTATTTTAATAATGTTTCAAACTCCTATATAAATGGCTATATTTTAAGAATGATTATATTATGAATTATATTTGTATAAAAAAATTTTATATTTGAAATTTTGACTTTTAATGGTACTAGCTATTTTTATGATATATTATGTTAAAACTGGGGGGGAAACTTAGGATGATGTCGACCAGGGACTATGAATTACCTTGAAGGTGTGGAGAGAAGCATTAGGGCTCACACAGATGTTGCACACACCTGGATAATTCCCAGGCAGCACACAGGTTCCCTCTTAGGTGCAGCTCTAAAGAAAATAGTACCACAAAATCTGACTACTTCTATCAAGGACACACTACCTTCCAATTCCAAACTAACCCTAAAGATTGCATTCTATTTTTTACTGTAAGAAAATATCATTTGTCAATAAAATCCACATATTTGTGTGAAACTTAGCTGTTTTCAGATGTGTTCATTGCTCATGTCTCATTGATCTCTTACTTCAGCCTCTAAGGATCATGGAACACAAACCATGAAACTTCCTTTAGATATAGCTTCTTGAGAAACCCACATGAATTAAGACGCCCTTAAAAATTATTTCTTTTAAAAACTGTGATAAAATATGCATAACCTAAAATTTACCATGTTAATCATTTTTAGGTGTACAGATCAGTGGCTTTAATTAAGTACATTCACATTGTTGTATAATCATCATCACCATCCATTCACAGATCTTTTTTTTTTATCTTGCAAAACTGAAACTCTTTAGCTATTACACAAAAACTCCCTATTTCTCCCTTACCCCAGGGTTTATCAATAACCATTCTAACCATCTCAATGATTTTGACTATTCTAAGTACCTCATATGAGTGGAATAATATAGTGTGTATCCTTTTGTAAATAGTTTATTTCACTTAGCATAATATCTTTAAGATTCATCCATGTTGTAGCATATGTCAGAATTTTCTTCCTTTTTAAGACTGGAATAATATTCCATTGTATGTATATGCCACATTTTGTTTATCCATTCACTCATCAATGCATACTTAGGTTGTTTCCACCTTTCAACTATGTTGAATAATGAATTTATAAATATGGGTATGTAAATATCATTTTGTGTCCGTGCTTTCATGGGTTAGGACACTTTTCAAATTATTATTATTATTCTTTTAATAGATCTTTATTGATTTCAGAGAGAGGAAAGGTGAGGGAGAGAGAGATAGAAACATCAATGATGAGAGAGTCATTGATTGAGCCTGCAACCTGGGCATGTGCCCTGACCGGGAATCGAACCCCGATCGCCTGGATCCCAGGTCGACGCTCAACTGCTGACCCACGCCTGGCCAGGCAAATTATTTTTGTTTTAAACAATAAAAATATTCCACAAGGGTCCATTTATTTATTTGAAAGCTTACTCAAATAGTGGTAGCTATCTGTTAGTTCTTGATAAGGGAACATAGTTCATCAAGGGAAATAGTATTTCTATACTAAACCTGGGTGGCTTTTCTTTGTCCAAATCCCTGTTTTTAATTGGTGATGTTTCTTTGGTCCTCTGTATTCCTTGCAGAGTTTATTTTTCTTTTTCAGAGGAAAGTCCACTGATCCCTTTATTGCTTTGGAGGAGGGGATGCTCAGGAACTCTTGGTGGGGCAAGTGCACTTCCTCTTCACATGACTAGATTCTGGCTGTGCAGGATGGCTCTGGCTCTGTGGATGGAGGTCCTGGCGGTACTTGTTCTTGCAGGTCTTGTGCCAGATGCTGCTCAGGGTGGCCTACAAGTAGGAGGTGACTGCCTTTCGCTGGCTGAATCTCTGCTTCATGATGACCACCACACCTTTGCCAGTGGGCTATAGGCTCCCTGCCCACAGACTTGCAGTAGAAGGTGCTGTGGGCCTTCAGAAGATTGGGTTCAGTGCTCTATGTCTACCTGTTCCTCTTGATCAGGAAGCTGGAGCAGTTCCACTACCATCCATTGCAGGTGGGCAGACATCAGAGCAACTCCTCCCGCTGTGGTGGCCGAAGATGGAAAGAACCTTGTAGAGATTCTTCATGAAAGATGCAGGTGCCAGAGTATGATAGATGGACAGTAGACCCCTATGTATTCCAAGCCCTCCAACCCTGTCTTTACTCATTTGGAAACATTTGTTTTCAAACGACCCTGAGAAGGCAGCCTTAGAGCATGCTCAAGTCTAATTATTCTACTTCATTTTTAAAAAATTAATAAACTTTCCTTTTTAGGGCATTTTTAAGTTCACAGCAAAATTGAGCAGAAAGTAGAGTCCCCTGTACCTCCTACCCCCATACAAGCACAGCCTCTGCCACTGTCAAATTCTCATTGCAAAGAGGTACATTCGTTATATTCAATGAATCATTATCATCCAAAGTCCATGGTTTACATTAAATTCTGTCCATTTTTGCCTCACGTATTTTGTGAGTACATGCACCTCTGTTGTTAGGCACATACACATTAAGGATTGATGTGTTTTCTTGGAGTATACGCACCACTTAATGATTATGTAACGTCCCTCTATGGCTAATAACTTTTCGTACTCTGAAATCATCTCTGTCTGAAATTAACATAGGTATTCCCTTTTTCTTTAGGTTAATGTTAACATGGGTAACTTTCTCCATACTTTAACTTTTAATCTTTATGTATCTTTATATCTAAAGTGGGTTTCTTATAGACAACATATAGTCAGGTCTTGGTTTTTTATCCTCTCTGACAATCTGCCTTTTAATTGTCTTTAGATCATTGAAATTTAAAATGATTATTGATATAGTTTGATTAATATAATATTTATCATATTTGTTACTGTTTTCTATTTGTTGCCCTTTGTTTCTGTTTTGACTGCAACATTTTTGTGTGGCTTTAATTGAACATTTCTTTATGATTCTATTTTCTCTTCTTTTTAGCATATCAATTATATACTATATATTTTTTTTACTTTTTAATGTTTTTTAGTGGTTGCTCTAGAGTTTGCAATATACATTTATAACTAATCCAACTCCTTTTAAATAATACTATAATACTGCATGGTTGTACCTTATAACAACAACCTAGTAAGTACCTTATAATAAAAAAAATATTCCTAATTCCTCCCTCCTGTCCCTTGTATCACTGATGTCATTCATTTCATTTATATGTAAGCATATATAAGGATATTTGTATATATAATATACCTAATCAAATACATTGTTGCTATTATTTATTGAATAAGCAGTAATCTATTCAATTAATTAAGAATAAGAAAAATAAAAGTTTTCATTTTACTTTCATGTATTCATTCTCTCATGCTCTTCCTTTATTTATATAGGTCTGTGTTTCCAGTCTATATCCTTTTTCTTCTCTCAGAAGACCTTTTAACATTTCTTGCTAGGTAGGTCTTCTGGAAATAAATTCCCTCAATTTCTATTTGCCTAAAACTGTCTAGATTGGTGGGTTTTTGCCCTCCTAGAACTTTAAATATTTCATTCCACTCTTCTTGCCTACATGGTTTCTGAAGATTAGATTGGTATAATTCTTACTTTTCCCTTTTGGCTCATTTCTTTGTTATTTTTTTGTGTGGTTTTTCTTTTTTCATTTTATTTGATTTTCTGCGGTTCAAATGTGATATGCCTAAGCATAGTTTGTTGTTGTTGTTGTTGTTTTTGCTTGGTATTCTCCATGCTTCCTGGTTTGGTGTTGGACATTAATTTGGGAAAATTCTCAGTCACTATTACTTCAAATATTTCTTTTTCTTTCTCTCTCTCTTTCTTCTCCTGGTATTTCCATTATAGGTCAATTACACCTTTTCTGGCTATCCCATAGTGTTTGGATATTCAGGGGTATTTTTTGTCTTTGTCTTTTTTCCCTTTGCTTTTTAGTTTTAGAGGTTTAGTTCAGGTTTTCCTACCCTAGCATTGGTTCCTAAGGAAGTTCTGCTTGGTGGTTTCTACTTAGGTAAATTGTGATTCTCTATATCTGCCTCTCTGTCTCTCTAGTTTGTGGGGTACCAGTTTTGCCCTGTGACCTTCTCTGAAAGATGAAAGAAAAGCTGTTGATTTTTCCAGTTTGTTCATTTATCAGTTGGAATGTAGACTTCTAAGCTCCTTATATGCCACATCAGAAACGGGCAGTCTTTCAAGTTCATTTTGAGTTAAAAAAGAAGGTGGAAGGAGTCAAATGCAAACTAAATGTGACAAAAGAAGCCCTACTTCTGAAAGCCCACTTTAAGAAGAAAAACACTGAAATAAGAAAGAAAAGTCAGTGTTGGTTAACCTAGCTCTACTGCTCATGCTAATGCTTGGTTTTTATTCATATCAATTTTTCCCCTCTTCTTTTCAAATTTAAAAAATCAACTATTTTCTGCACAGATTTCCTATTATTGTCTACTTGTTTTTTATATGCAAGTCTTGAGTTTTGGGGGTTACTTGCCTCAGTCTCTGCCCACTCCCACCCAACACAGTTTCTTCATTGATTTCTCAGACCTTGTTCTTCCTCATTATGAGAAAAAAAGCTAAAGCTTGAAACAAGTACATTTTCTTCCAGTTCAGGGACCTTCCAGGATTGAGAAATTGCGTTAGAGTGAAAAGCTAATAAAATCCCCAGTGTAAATATTTTAGTAGTTTGCTAAAGAAAGAACCTCAAATACTAGCTGGAAGACAATTTAAAATGAGGTTTAAAGTGCTCAATATAAAAACCAGTTTGACCTGTTAAAACAGGTGTGGAGAATCACAATTCCCTATTAAAAGATACAATGAGAAAAGCCTATAAATTCAAGACAAATACATTGGAGCATGAGAACTGCAAATCAGTAGGCTGAGAATTATAAACTGCTCCCAGTGTGGAGGAGAATTCTTGGCAGAAGTTTAGGCTTATTGCTTAATTTGTTAAAGTAGGAACACTCACTTGCTTTTTGATAACTTATTTTCTCTAGTTGTAAAATGATATCATGCATTTGTTTAAGTGAATATGCTATTGCTGGCTTTTAATATGTAGCAAAATGAATTAATGGAAAATAATGGTAAATTGTTATTTGGATAAAAATGTAAGACAATTTACAACGTATCTTCCATTCATTGAAGTACAAAATATATACAGAAAATACAAATTGACCTTCCAGAAATCCCTTGTGGAGGTTTTGTTTTATTGTTAAGATAACCAGTTTCCCAAAAAAACACATGTGCGAACCACAGAAATGAAGACAGAGACTCATACGCCAACTTAAATGAATTTTCGATACATGTTCTCCTTTGGCCATTGTGAATATTGGAAAGTAAGTGTGAATAGTTTTAGGGTATAAACAACTCGATTAACTATGTTCTTTCCCATTCACCTTTGAAACGGACAGAATAGTAGAAGGAATGATCTTTAATTCTCATCAATGACAGGTATACTGACAAATAGAACTAAAATTGAATTGCATTTTTTTTCCAGTTTTTGTACTGTTTTGTTCATGTATAAATGTTTTA